CGCACCCACCGCGCTGCGCTGCGCTCCGCCCGGCCCCAGCGGGCCCCGCTGCCGCCTCCGCCGCGCCGAGTCACCCGGATGGGAAACTCCCGCCCCGCAGGAAGCGACGGCGGCCGCGCGGGGCCGCGCGCGGGGGAGGAGGAGGCGGGACCCGCCCCTCTCCGCGCAACGGGGGAAGCAGGCCGGGAGGGGCGGGGCGCGCGCACGCGCCTTTGAGCGCGGCGCATCCGCCGCTGACGTCACTTCCTGTTGTTGTGCTCGCCCCGCTCTCCCGCCCGGAGCGCGGCCGGGACCGCCGGTGAGTGACGCAGCCGGGGAGGGGGGCGGGGGAGTGAGGAGGGGGCGGGGGGGGCTCGCGCCGCGCCGCGCCCCCTCCCGCCGTGCGGGGAGAGCCGTTAAACGGTCGGGGCGGCGCGTGCGGGGCTGCGCGCTGATTGGCTGAGCGCGGGGGCGGCGGGAGAACGCGCGGTACACATACGTATACAATCTATACGTCCGCGTGGGCGCGCGGGGACCGCCTTTAACCCACGGGAGACTGATGGGTTTTCTTGGCAAAGCCWAAAGAGGAGCACGGAGCTGGCGGTGAAGAGCGGCGGGACGTGGCGGTAGGCGCCGCATGGCCCGGCCCCGGAGCCGCGCGCGGCCCATCCATGGACCTGCGAGCCGCGGAGGAAGAGGAGGAGAGCCTGCAAACGGCCTTCAAGAAGCTCCGAGTGGACGCGGCCGGGTAAGGAGCGGCGGGGGCTGTTAAATTAAGTGGGATATTTGGGGTTGTCTGTGTTCTCACCAGTACAGCTGGCGTGACAGCTCTCACAGGACACGCAGATCAAGTGGACGGTCACTGCAGCCCTATAGGCAAAGCGCCATTCGATTAACTGATTCAGGTTTAGTGTCAATCCTGCGCGATACACAAGTTGCTTCTGCATTTCGAACAAGTGCTGGTGCCTTCAGCTGCGCTGTCGCCCAGGAGAACCCGCTGCCAGAGCGTCTGATGTGCAGCACCCTCCATCTGCTCCTCCGTACTGCTCGAGAGAGGCCCCCCTGCTTGGAAGTGATGTGAACACTGGCAATGTCACGGAGTAAAATGTTTGCAGAGCTTGTTGCACTAAAACATACTCCGGAGCACGCTGGGTAGAGTGATAATATATAGTATGAGCCTACTCRTTTAAAGTATGGGCTAATAGAATCACACAGTCTCACAGCGCTGAGATGGTTCACCTGGTTGCATATGAAAGGAAAGTTTTTAGGRATTCCCAGATGCAGGGGAAACCCTTTGAATCCATGGAAACTGTATTTTACCATATGAACTCATTTCTTTATACCTGAGTGTTTTGAGCTGAAGCTCCTCCACTCATTCAAATGTTTTTTTTTTGTATTACTACTATCTGAGTAGGCCTTTTGACAAGTAGGGAAAAAAAAACAGCTAGAAGCTGTTCTCTAGATCAGAGAAGCAAGAAAAAACCCTTTTATAAAGCATATCCCTTTTCACRTACTACCAATGACAGATCCTGTGAAGTTAGGTTCACTCCTGTGATATTTAAGTATACAAAGACCTGTGCTTGGCAGGCTTGTGGTTTGAGCAGCTAAACCCTCATGAATAATCCRTCAAAGCCAACTTGGGACAGAGTACCTGGACTCATCTGCTTGTATCTCAGTCTCATATCTAAGGATTTCTTTTCTCATGCTCTAATTCACACACATGGCCAGCATAAATACAGGTTTCTGTGCTGGTAGCTTGTTAAATATCTTAGTAATTGCTTGCACTTGCTTACAGAGCTAGGTACAGAGCACTGTGGCAAGGCATTTATGTTTGTTGTCTGACTCTCGAAGTCATGAAATAGATTGTTTTTCATTCCTGTTCCCCTTGGGAAATGCAATAAGAAATAAATTAATAATCTTTCCTTTTCCACTGTGGTACCTCACCCACTCCTGCCCTGACTCTTCAGCCTGCTATTGCGTGTTCCTGACTTTGCATTTGAAATGAAGCAGGAGTCCAAGTTTTAACAATTACTGTCTGGCAGGAACAATTGGAACATGAGTTTACATTCCTTTAATGCAACCTCCTGGTACAAATAGAGCATGACATCAGCTGCTGGACCGCTTGGCTTTGTTTCATGCCACCTGTCTTCAGACACTTAGCAGAGGTCAATAAAAAGAGAGGTTAGATAAATCACTGTAGGATCCTGTTACTAACCACTAAGAGGAAATCAAGGCAGAAAATGTAAATGTCCTAGATAAAWATCTGAAACTTGGAGGCTCGGTCTAGACCTTAGAAACCATGGGCTGAAGCAGTATCATAATGTGGCATTTTCCTCTCTCCCCAGATCTGTTGCAGCTCTCTCTGTGGGTGACGGGACGATTCTGAGAACCCCGACAAGAGCAGTTGTGGAGGGAGCCAAACAACAGGCTGCCTGCCCCAAAGAAGCTTGGCATGGGTAACACACATCATTAGCTTCATTAACTGCACTGTGCACCCATTCCTGTTTTGGTTGAGACATTCACATTTTCTAATGAAAATTGTTGTCAGTGAAATGACTCTATTGCAAAGCTTTAGCATAACCATTTGATTCTGTGATTTTTAAGAGGCTTTCAGCAAAGATTTTGACAATATTGCCTCTTTTAGTGTGCCTAAAGCTTTCTTTTCTAGTAATTGCCCCAGAGATCCTTCTCTTCAGTTTTTGTACTGTTGCATCTCTTTTTCTACTTCCTTTTTAATTTCTGTTTTGAAGAACCTGGATATTCAGTGCAGTTCTGCCAGCAGCTCTTAAGTCATATGCAGGTTCTGCACTGCAGTTCAGTTTGTGGTAACAGTGGCAAAACCAGAGCACCTCCAACAAAAAAACATTTCCTTAACCCAGAGGACTTGAGGGAAATAAATATCTTTAAAATAGAGGTACTAGAACACACCTTCCCTGTTGGGGGAAGATTTCTTCTGACTCCTCTGCTATTCCTGTCAGAGATTTTAGGTGACCCATCATCCCATTTTGTAAGCAGCAAAATCTTCTGAAACATTTTTAGCCGTGTTTCAGAAGCTGTTGAGTTGTGGCTTAGGTTTTTGAATTACCTCCTTGTTGGCCTGTTACAACCCAACAGGTGTGTGAGAAAACCTTCGAGAGGGTCGGCGCGAGTCCCCCGTCGCCGACGCTCCAAGTCTCCTGTCCTGCACCCTCCCAAGTTCACATATTGCAGCATGAAAGCCGACAGCCAGCTGAAACACAAAACCCAGGCAGACACATCGAAGGGTAACGTCACTTCAGAACACGGTACAAAGGACGGCTGCGAGTCTCACTTTGAGGCCAGTAAGGACAGAAGAACCAGAACTGAACCTTCRGAAGCTTCCACAGCTGAAGAGCCACTGGAGAATTCAAGGAAGAATCACCCTGCTCTGTCTTCATCCTTTGAAACCAGCCTGGATTCTAGCCAGGCTTCAGATTTCCAGTCCTTCTCCATGCTTAGCAATGGCCAGCAGTGCCCTTGTACGGACAAGAAGTGCCGGTGCCAGCAGTGGCGAGCCATGGAGGTGTACTCTTTCTCTGGCTTACGGAGCGTCCTGTCGGAGTGCGAGAAAGCAGTCCTAGGAATCCATCCGCAGGCTCTTCCAAACAGATCCTCCTGTGGAATGGCCTCATCAGGTTCTCCTCGGTCTTGTTCGGAGCAAGCTCGAGCCTTTGTGGATGATGTGACTATTGAAGATCTTTCGGGCTACATGGAATACTACTTATATATCCCCAAGAAAATGTCTCACATGGCAGAGATGATGTACACTTGACTGAAAGCAATAGAGAATCATGAATCARAGCCTGTGATAAATGCTTGGGTTAAATGCCTTTCAGTGCCATGGCTGTTTTCACTGCTCTGTGTTTGATCAGATGTTTCTTTGCATCATACAGCTTAGTTTTCTAATAAAATGAAAAATGGAATATAGTTTCTGAGCATAGTTCTAAAAACAATGCACTAAAGTTTCTGAATACCTTAACAAAAGCACTGTAGGTCAAATAAACTCCCTTTGGTTTTTGGTTCATGCTGTGGATATTCAAGCTGTGTACGTTGTTTTCACTGTATCTGGGAAAAGCCTTTTAAGCTTTGCTCCGAGATTTTGGAGGGTTTGGAAGATTCATTCTTGATATGTCTTATTCATCCTACTCCAAGGAGAAAAATGGGAAAGCATTCAGTGTTTTAGATAGGATGTGTATCCTTTTCTTGAACACTGTCTGGGTGKTTTTTTTTCCTCCTTCCAATTGGATCAAATTGTGAAGGCTTTTCCCTCATAAAGAACATGTTGGAGCGGGCTTAGACCCTTCCATGGTCTTATCAACTCACTCTTACACAATTATATTTATCTACAGATAGCGAAGCTCATAAAAGCAAAAATATATGTTGTTACACATGCTTTACAGATGGAGTATTTTAAGGGAGAATGGAATGGGCTAAGAGAGTTAAGAATAAAACTTCCTTGGGGCCACACAGTCTCCAAAACTGAGATTGTGAAGCCATTTACATGGATCGTAYCCAGGTGTGTTTGATACACAGAACAGGCAGGAAGTGGGATAAACAAGAAGTGTATATCGTTCACGCTTTGTGGTGTAGGATTATAAAATTACATCTGGTTGAAAATACTCCAGTAAAACACAGGGATTCTGAGTTGTGAATTAATACATGTTTGTCTAAACCAAGCATCGTTAAAGCTTGAATAGTTTGACTTACACCCCCTAAGAAGCATTTGTAAATTAAAGCGTGCATTCAATGTCAGCTATAAATGCACACTTAACAACTATGAGCAGAATAGTGCAATTTTTACTTTTACCTTTTAACGTCAAGGATCAGCAAGCCAGGAAGTCACAAAAAGTTCTACAAAAATAGAGAGTAGCAGATGTCGACATCTGACCTTGCTTTCTGCACTCGGGAAGTTTCAGATATTCTAGATGATCCTCATTTAATCCTCACTTATTTTCTGCAGATTTTATTCTAATAATCYCTAAAAATTATGCTACAAATCCAGAAGTATAGATTCAAAGTTTTTTAAAAAAAAGAAAATCCAAAATAAATTAGCATGAGTCTACCACAAAAACTTTCTTTGCTCTTGAGTGTTACCACTTCATGCACTGAGCATGTAGTATGACTTGTCCATTTTTGGTCAGTTTTTCACTGCCCCATTCCCTTCTCCTGCCTTCTCAGTGCTGTCCTACGTACTCACAGACTAGAGTGTCTCTCATTTGGTTGTGCTTTCCTCACTTTGTCACCTCTTTTTCAGTAAATTTGGTGTAATCTGGACTTTGCTTTTAAACCTGAATATTTAGTGCTAGTTACCTCTGCTGCTGCTGTTTTTCAGAGGACATTTCTGCTTCAACACTCAATTGTTTCCTTCATTCAATTGTGACGTTTCAGGGTGTTTCTGTTCATGCTTTATTTCTGTGCTCCCTTTCAAACTGTTTGAGGTACTGTTGCTAAATGCTGCATTTCTCCCTTTTAAACTTTAAAATTACCCCTGCATCTCAGYGAGCGTTGACCTAGAACATGCCCTTCTGAAGATGGGATCTATCTCTTTAGAGTGTGATTTAAACCCGGCCCTGGTTGCCTGCGAGGGGAAGGGGAAGGGGAAACGCTCACCTTTGCAGCTGGAGCACTAGCACAGCCAGGCCTTTCCCTGCAAGTGTGGGATGATTCAAGGTCACCTTGATGCTGTTGTTTCTGCAATGGAGTGCAGTGCTGCTTCTATTCAATAAAGCATAATAAAGCACAAAAAAAAAAAAACCCAAAACCATAAACGTCTCAACCTTCAAGCTGGCGTTGCACAAAACTAGTAGTGAACTTGGACATTCCAAGTGCACAAGAGTTCCCAGCTGTGCAGCTGTGACCATGGCACAGCACACAGCAGGCCTGGTGTCCCTGGTGAAAACAGGGATTTAGGATATGATGGAAGTTAAACTAGTCCAAGATAAATCCCAGAGCTGAGGACAAAACCTCAAACTGTCACACAGCCAAGAGGAGGAAATAGTAGTGAGAAGAGGTTCCTCTGTGATGTTTTGAGTACGTACAAGAGAAAGGTAGAGGGAAATGGGGGGARAGGGAAGAGACACCAGAATTTGGAAGTTTCTTATTTCCAGTTTCTGTTTGACTGYATCTGCAGGTCTCAACCTTGGCTTCATTTAAAGCCTCCCCAGCTTAGTGCTCATCCTCAGCTCCTCCAATAACTCAGTAGCTCCTGCTTTCTGCCTGACCGGCGGCTCAAGCTTCACTGTCCAAGAACACTTTCCTGGGCACTGTGTGCACAGTGCAAGCAGCCTGGGCGACGGGCACCAGCTCTGGGCCCCGAAGGGCACAGAGCAGCCCGTGTTACAGCTCCCGTGCCTGTTCGGTCCCTGCGTGCAGAAACCGAGGGGTGTTTTTCTGAGCAGAGATGCTCTGGAGTCCACCCCAGCCAATCTGCAAAAGAATTTCCCTAAAATTTGAGAGGAAATTTTCCTCTCAAACGTTCCCACATGGGCTGCGCTGGCTGAGCTCTCCCAGCCCAGGAATTTCGGTGCCAGCAGGGAGAACTAAAGCCGACAGCTGAGTAATGACCATGGGGAGGGAATCGAGCAGAGCTGCGCTTGCCGCTGCAGTGCACAGGAAAGACTCCCCAGGAAAACCCGACACGTCTGCCCCGAGAGCCCCCAGACCCCACTGCTAGTCACCACCAGACAAGTCATAAGCCCCGGGTTCTCCCTTCCCCTTCATATTATTTTTTTTCCCTTGCTCCAGATTTTAAATCCCTCGCGACATCCCTGTCTGTTGCCGTTCCAGTGCACACAGCTCAAATAGCAGCTGTGTGATGTCGATGCAGCCGGCGGCAGCTCTTCCCCRGGCCTGTCCGCTTCCCGACCAGCCGCTCCGGGAACACCTTGTCCAGGGCGGCCCGATGCCAGCTGAAGCACGCAGGTATTTTCCATCTCGTGGAAGCTCTGTACTTTCTGCATCAGCAAAACCAAGGGCTTTTTTTAGAATCCCCCCYKCCCCCCAATATTTTACAAGTTACTTCGTCATCTAGCGTCAGGRTTAGCTCGAGTGAGACGTGATGCACAGGAGCACCCTGGATCAATGAGTTCGTTTCTCTCCTTACACAAGCTCAGCTGAGACCTGTCTAAGCCTCACACTGGCAGCCACTGACTCAGGCAACTCAGGAAAAGCAACGGCGCTGAATCCAACCACTGAAGCCTCCTTGCCGCCTGCTGTGCTAAAAATGGGACACGTTTCTGTGCCTGGAAAAAGTCAATTCCAGGACTTCTCTCCACCCACTGCTTAAACCTGCACCAAATCTGACACAAGACACATCAGGCAGCAAGTAGGCAGGTTGGTGCCCTAGTTCCTGCCTTCCACCCAGGCTTTGCAAACCCCAGCAGCCTCAGCCCTCACCCCATTGCAGATGGGAAGGCCGGACACGTTCCCAAGGTCGCACAATGCCAGGGAAGAGCTAAAGGCAGCCGCACTAATCCTGCCCGCCAGCCTTCGCTCAGCTTAGTAAGCAGAAACGCAGCTACACGCTAAATAAATCAGTGCCTCCGGAGGCGRCGAAGCCTGCAGGAGACAGAAACACGCAGCCGCTGCCGCCTCTCTTTTTCCAACTGCGCAGCACGAATCCAGCCCAGCGCCTGCCGCTAGATGGAGCGTTCTGGACAGCGCTGCGCGGGAGGCAACGCGCTCTGCTTATCCCCAGCGCTTCCTTTTTGTGCCCAAACTCAAAGCGCTGGCCCTGGGTAACAGTGCCTTTTCCAGGGATAGAGCCAAGGGAAGATGCTCGCCCAGGAATGGGCGCTCGCCTGGGATATTTCCGTGGTGGGAAAGGCTGGATCTGGGTCTCCAGCTGAAGCCCGAGCTGCTCAGAGGCTGCGGTGGTGGCAGGTGCCCCAAAGCGGAGCCCTGAGCCTGGCTCTTCTCTGGGCAGGCTCTAGGGCAAGAGCCTTTGCCGTTACGTGGGTCGTGTCCCCCAGGCCAGCACAGGTGGGAATCCGGGCAGAAGCAAAGGACAGCGCTGCCCAGCCTCACGCCCCTCCACAAACACACTGCCGCCACGGTGAGCCCGGTGACACGACACCGAGGGCAGAGCCTCGCTCATTCCCAGCTCCCTGTCCTGGAAAACTGCTCCTCCCGCTGTGTTGGTGGGGGCCAGGCAGATGCCCCCATCCCGTCCTTTCCAGGCGCCCTTAGGCGAGGAGCAGTGCAGTCCCCAAGGGGAAAGGCTCCCAGAGCCTCGGGCACCCAAAGAGCCACCACGGACCAGGACAGACCCCYGGGCACCCTGACCGCTCCAGCAGCCGGTGCCTGTTTCAGCGCACGGCCCTGCCGGCTGCCACAGGCTGCCCTGCTCCCCAGGGCTCCAGCGCCCATCCTGGCCTCCCGGGCTCAGCCCAGCCGCGCCACACAGCATTAAGCCCCGCTCAGACAAAGCCKGGCTCTGCACAAGGACACCCTGCCGGCGGCTGCAAGCCGGGGCCTGCCGGCAGTCCGGGCGCCTCCACGGCTGCTGCAGCGCCCTTCGGGACACGGGGCGGGAGCGGCGGCAGCCGGGCGGGCGCCGGGCGCGGGGCCGTTTCCATGGGAGCCCGGTGGCCGCCACGCGCCGCGTGACGCGGGGCCGTGCGGGAGCGAGCGCGCGCCCCGCTCGCCGCCCGCCATGGCGGCTCCCAACAACGTTGCCGCCACCAACTGCAGCTGGTGGCCCATCTCGGCGCTGGACAGCGATGCGGCCCGTGCCAGAGAGGCCGACGAGAGCCATGAGGCGGCCGACCCCGCGCTCGGCCCCCCGGACAGGCTCGTCCTGTACCACTGGACGCAGTCCTTCAGCTCGCAGAAGGTAACGGCGCTCGGCTGCTTCCCGCCGGAGCATCCCGGGCATGTCGCCGGAGCAGGGCCCTGCTTGCGGGAAGGACGGATACACAAGAGGTCCTTTGTACCTGCATCCCCGCATCCCGTCAGGAGCTGCCGGGAGGGCACGGCGGGGGAGAGGAGGGGGCAGCTGCACACAAAGGATGGAGCGGGGCCATGGGGACCCGCGCGGGCCGGGAGGCAGCTCGGCGCCGGGGGGACCTGCCTGGTGCCGCAGCAGCGCCGGGAGACCCCTCGGGCGGCGGCAGCGCCGGGGGGGACGCCGCCTTTCCCAGGCTCCTTCTGCAGCGCGGGGGCCGCTTCACAAAGCGGAGACCTCCCTCCGGCAGCCCCGAACAGCCCTGTCACCCTCGCGTACACCGGGAGGACGGGGTGTCGGGGGGTATTGAGGGGGCACGAAGCTTCACCCCGCCCGAGAAGGGCCCTGCGAGCGCCCACCAAGGCRCACAAAGAGGCTGTGGGTGCCACCAGGCAGGACCCCTCACCAAGCACCGCCCGGGGGGTCACCCGCAAGCAAAGAGCCTCCACCGGGGTGATTTTACCCTCACTTTGGGGTTTTTAAAGAAAACACCCTAGCGCAGCACACGCCCGAGGAGCAAGGAGCGGCTGGCACGGTGCAGGGGACGAGGAGCAGCATCCTCAGCTCCCGGCAAGGCCACCGAGGACCAGGCCTCCATCCGCTGCCTCCCCACGGAGGGGGACCCGGACCGGCCACGGGGCTGGGCAGCAGGATGGGCCCTGGGCCTGGYTGCCAGAGGGGCAGAAACACCAGGAGCAAGGTGCAAATGAGGAAACCCGGCTATTACTTGTCTCGCTTTAGGAAAAATAATTAATTAGTTGGGGCTGTAAATAATTAATAGCTAATTCCACAGGAAATTGGAAGTACTTTGAGAAATGCTTATATTTGTTTAGTATGATTTTTAGCTGCTCCCAGCTAGAAGAAAGCAAGYGCTGCTCCTTTCTTCCAGTGGCTCTGTAAGAAGTGGCTGCCTGATGTCCCTGCAGGGATTTATTTTATTTATTTATTTTTGCTAGTTTGACATACTTAGTGCATAATGGACAGTTTTTGTTAAAAAGCGGGTGTCTAAAAGGAGATTCTTGAGCGCGGGGCCARTGGGCAGAGCGGGGCTGGTCCTGCAGCGGCTGCTCAGCCCTGTGGCACCAGGGAGGAGGAGGAGGAAGAGAGAGGGAGGAAGAAGCACCTGGCAGCRCTCCCCACACAGCGGTCCGAGGGCCCAGCACCTGCTTGGAGGCCCCATCAAGCAGAACTTTCTCCCTGCTCCTATCAGCCCAGCAAAGCCGCAGAGACCACCCCACAAGTGGCACCTACCTGCACTGCTGCGGCCACCTCCTCCTGCAGGCCACAGCACCCACTGGTGCAAGGGGAAGTGCTGCCTCCTCCTGCCCCTTTTCTGCCTCCTCCTCCTCCTCCTCCTCCTCCTCGGCTCTCACCTGTGCTGTGCTGGTGGTGCCAGCACACAGGTGGGTCCCGCGGGAGCACCACTGATCCCCCCAGCCCCACAGGGCTCATGGGTGGCCACGTTCAGCCCTGGCGGGAGGTCCCTGGGGCTCAAGCTCCTCCGTCCCCTCCGCTGAGTCGTTGGTGGCAGCAGGACACATCACACTGACACTGAGCTCGCATGGCTCAGCTGCAGCTGCCAGGACTGTGACCTGTCCCCTCTGCATGACGGAGCCGGGATCCTGCCAGAATGGGGTCATTCCGGGGGTGAAAACGCTCCAACCTCGTGTCTGCCCAGGCGGGTTGTGACCACCAAGGTCCTTTGCACATCTGCAAGATGCACATTTGCATCTGCAGATGCCTTGGCAGCATTGAGGTGACAGATCCTGGTGCCAACGTGGCACGGAACAGAATTCCCCTCCTTGTGGTGGGACAGCCAGCACTGGCAGCAGGGTGTCCCTGCTCGGGGGCCCGTGGGAGACCTGAGCTGCTTCTGCCCTGCCTTCAGGTGCGGCTGGTGATCGCGGAGAAGGGGCTGCCCTGCGAGGAGCGCGATGTCAGCATGCCCCTCCTGGAGCACAAGGAGCCCTGGTTCATGCGGCTCAACCTCGGCGAGGAGGTGCCCGTGGTCATCCACAGGGATAACATCATCAGTGACTACAACCAGATCATCGACTACATGGAGAAGAACTTCACAGGAGGTAAGAGCTGTGGATGGAGATGTGCCGTCCTGCTGGGCCTGGGGGGCTCTGAGGCCTTATCCAAAGATGCTGTTTACCAAATGCAGCTCTGGGAGGGCTGGATTTCCACAGCTCTTCCAGGAGAGCCTGGGCAGGGAATAGGTGGAAAAAGAGGGCAGACAACCTCCAAAATGTCCCCAGGAGCCACCTGTGGACCAGGTACCACCTTGGTGACTATTCAGGTGTATTCAGCTGGTCGCTTCTCTCAGGTGGAAAATCCCTTCTGTCACCTCCACCTCTACGGAGGTGACAGTAGGGCTGGTCAGAACCACCTGAGTCCAATGCACACACGGAGATCAGCAGTGCTGTCGTCCCATTTAGCTCAGGGACAGAACCGGTCCCCCTGAGCCTCCCAGAGCTTCGTGATCACATAACAACCACCTGAACATCCACAACTCTGCATCTACACCATGGAAGCGTAGACACCATGGAAGAGTAGACACCATGGAAGGGTAGACAACACAGCAAGCAGGTGCCTGTGTTGTCCATCCATCCCACGTTGTCCCTCCATCCTGCACTGCCCTGCTCCCCGGCTGGACCCTTCATTCAGGACACGTTGTCCAGGGACTGCCCTTGGCCTCGGAGCAGGGACCCGGCCCGCGTTGAGCTCTGCTCTGCGGGCAGCGTGCGGACAACCTAGTTCACCAAGTCCCAGTGGTGAATTTACTCACTGCCTGTTAACAGCTCTCTGCAAAAGCCATAAACGTTTATGATCCCATAAAAATGATCCTGATATTCCTGGGGGAGACAAGAGCAACATTTCCTTTATTCTGGTGGCAGCTGCTGTGTATTTTGGGTTGTGGGAACACTAAAACATGTGTGACATGAACTGCCGTCTGCATAAGATAAATAAACCCCAGCAGCTGAGGACGTCTGGGCAGCAGCATGGCCACGGATGAGACTTCAGGAAAGATGTGCACTGTTCTTCACTTTGCTCCCAGCTTATCCATTCAGAATGGGATTTTCCAGAAAACCCATGGAAATTAGTTAACTCATTCCTACTAATGTAACAGGCACCTGACCCAGGTGGTCCCTACCTCTAATTTCTSTTCTTCCCTGCAGAAAGGGAATATTTTGTTTCCTTCTGCAGGATGTGAAACCAAACGGTGCAAATTCGGAGCCTGCAGAGGTGACTGGGCTGCGTCTGTGCACGGGGCTGACGGGTGGAGCTGGGGTCTGGGCACCACAAACAACTTCCCGCTCACACCTTTCCCGCTCGGCATTCCAGAGAAYGTCACCCAGCTGATCCCGGAGCCAGGGAGCCTGCTGCACTCCCGCGTGCTGCAGTACCGGGAGCTGCTGGACTCGCTGCCCATGGACGCCTACACGCACGGCTGCATCCTGCACCCCGAGCTCACCACCGACTCCATGATCCCAAAGTACGCGACCGCTGAGATCCGCAGTAAGTCGCCTCTCCGGCAGGGCTGCCTAGAGCCGGCGGCACCCGGCCCTGCACGAGCGGAGCAAGGTGGACCTGGTGCCCCAATGCCAGTGCAGCCCGTGGCCATCCTGCCCTCCACGCCATCCCATTCCCTGTGGCCTCCCCTTTCCCAAGCAGAGGGAGCTGGGAAGTGGCAAAGCTCCTGGGGGGCTGCAGGGTCCTGGCAAGCTGCCCAGCCCCACGTGTCTCAGGTTCACGCTCTCTTTCCCGCTCCCGGCACAGCCGCTCGCCCCTCACTGCCACGTCTGTTTGTCCGTCACCCAGCTCCGTCCCAGGCACCCACCCTAACCCCGGGCCAGCTGCCTCCCTCTTCTCATCAATAGCTTCAAAGGGCAGAGGCGGGAGCCCACAGAGGGATTGAATTGCAGATTCGGGATGCATCTGCACGAGGTTGTGTCCCCGACCTTCAAGCGCTCATGAAACATTGACGATGCTTAATATAACCCAGCTGCAAGGACTGCGCTGGGGCGGGCGCCTCTCCGGGAAGAGACGTGGAGGTGGCCGCGTCTCCCAGCTCCTGCTTCTCTCCCTTCACGAACACTGACGTGTTGGCGAGTGGGACCTGGACTTCGGGCAGGGACCAGGGCAGTGGTCCTGTGGGCAGATGGACCCCCTGATCCTGGCCACTTGTGACAGAGCCGCGGCCTCGCATCCTGTGGCGCTGCAGCCTCATCCCTTCACTACCTCTGAGCCCTGCCAAGATGCTTAAAAATATCCCCGAGCCTCCCTGCGTCRTGGCTGCTTTCCCAGCCCGCCGCAAGGAAGGACTCGTGCTCCGCGCGCGGCATCCCGTGCCAGCCGCTGGGCGAGCAGCTCGGGGGCAAYGGCGGGCGCGTTTCCCGGCGGGTGCTGAGGCGCTCCGGTGGCAATGGGGGGAGTCCCGTGGGGTTTGGCTGCAGTGCTGGGGGCCCCGGCACGAGGATCGCTCGCGCGCCAGGGCCAGGCCTTGTCCCTTGTTTCCTCCAGGGAGCGAGAGGAGAAGGACAGATGGTGCCTGGAGGAGAGGTCAGCCCAGGGCGGRTAATTTAGGTCACCCCTAAGGTGTTCCTCTGCATCCTGCGCTTACCCTTCCATCTACTCCTCTCCCTCGCTGCTAGCTCCAGGGCGCAGAGAACCCAGCGCATCCTCCTGATGCAGGGAGTGCGGATGTCTCTCTTTGCGCCTTGCTGCAGAGGGGCTGCAAGATGTCGGAGGCAACTTTTGTAAGGAATAAACCCCGTGCTCAGCCCTGTGCCCACAAGGACAGCCCATGCACACATGGATGCATGGGGTGGCCCATGAGGAGAGCTCAGCCCCGGGATTGATCTGCTGGGGAGGAAGCTGCAGGCACCTGGAGGCGGGAGAGCAAAGCTCCTGAGGAGAAGGGARCGTGAAAGCCCTGCTGGCAGCACTGCCAGCGATCCAGAGGAGGAAACAAAGAAGGGAAATCCCTCTGGAGCCCATAAGGCTGAGCYTGGCCTCGTAGGAGGCTGGTGACAACCCAGCTTGAGCAAAGTGATCAGCACAAAACCCTCTCCTTCCCAAGCGGGGCTGCACTGGCCGGCCCCTCTCAGCTAGGCTCGCAGGGGAGACCCACAGCTTCCCAATCCCACCACCTTACGCTGCTTGGGGATAATTTCACTGCGCTTTGCAGCTGCTGGCCGCAGCGTTAGCAATGCTCTGGCCCTTGCTGCAGGGACAAGTTGGAAGTTTGGCCCTTTTGAGGTCCCTGGCTGCTTGTCACCAGCCCCTGGTGCTGCTTGACCTCCAGCAGCACAAAGTTGGCCTCATCTCTGCCCCCGCAGCCTCCATCTCCTCGGGAGGCAGAAGCAGTCGCCCCAGCCCCTTCTCCATCTGCCCGTAGGACATTTGGCCAATGCCAGCACGGAGCTCATGAAGCTGGACCATGAGGACGAGCCCCAGCTGACGGAGCCCTACCTCTCCAAGCAGAAGAAGCTCATGGTGAGTTGGTCCCGGCAACGCACGGCTCTCGGTGGTGGGGGGATCCCTTCAGTGCAGCCCCGGGCACCCGCGCATGCAGCCTGACCCACTGCTCTCCCCAGGCCAAGATCCTGGAGCACGACAACGTCAACTACTTGAAGAAAATCCTTGGAGACCTGGCCATGGTGCTAGACCAGATTGAGGCTGAGCTGGAGAAGAGGAAACTTGAGTACCAAGGTAGGCCGAGGGGCAGCACCGGGACRGTGTTAGAGGACACCCTAGCTGGTGCAGTCGTGATCTTGCCATTAGTGAGTAGATGGAACGGGCTGGAGCCCCCCAGGCCCTGCCTGCAGGGGCACCCATCTCACCCAGCCTGCTGCTGCTCTGATTTCTTTACCTCCAACCCTGGCCACCCTCCAGCTCCTGGAGCTCCCRGGAGGCTCTGGCGGCATCGTCCTAGCAATTCATTAGGCACCGAAAACGTCTCCTGACTAATTAGGCCCGGGTGCTACGCGCACTTGGGCTCAGCCGCAGGCTGGGGCTGGCTGCCAAGGTGGTGCACACGAGGTCGGGTAATGAAGGGTAACCGYGGGGCTCTGGCCTCCCCAGCAGGCMGCCCCGCGCCGGGGTGCTCCCAGGCCGCCCCTSCCAGGGCTTTCCAGGCTCCGGGATCCAGCTCCTTCCCTGGTGCTCTGGGAAAGAGGCAGGACCTGCGGCCAGGCTGGGCCAGCTCTGTGCACTCTCCTCCTGCCCTGCTCTGCTCCCCGAGGATCTCTCATGTCCCTAAAATAGGACGCGTTAACGTGATGCTCCTAAAGCTCCTCATGCCCCCAAGCAGCCAAGGACGGATGCTCTTCCTCCCCGAGCACCGGGACAGAGCACAAGTGGTCACTGCAGCAGAGCCTTCTTCAGCAGAAGCCATTATCTCTTTTCCAGGGACCTCCTGGCAAGCCAGGGAGGTGAGACCTGCCAGCGAGGCTGCTGCAGAGCCCATCAAGCAGGGCTTTGGTCCCCGGGTCTATGCGTCTCCCAGGAGCCACAGGCCCTGAGAGGAAAGGACGGGCCTCGATGCAGCCCACACATCTGCGACTGCCTGCAAAATTCAGGAAAGCTCCCATGCTCCTGGTTCCCAGGAGGTTTCCGAGGGAGTCAGGAGGCAAGGACGGACTTGCTGACAGCGCGGGGCAGAGCCTGTGAGCGCCGGGACCCGAGCGCGGCCGCGGCGCCGACTGGTCCGGCTGCTCTTGCTGCGTGGTCACCCTGCAGATATCCCTATCCTGCAGAGAGGGCTTGTATCCTTGTGGGTTATCCAGGATCACCTCATGCTTCCAGCCTTGTGCACATCCTTCATCCATAGCTTAGTACAGGGGCTCTGATTTCTCGGGATACACAAGAGCTATGGGAAAACACCTCAGGTCTGATCCAAACTCCTTCACTTCCATGGATCTTTTAGAGATGGATCTTCCATGGATCTTTTAGGATCCATCCAAGGGCTTGTTCTCACCCTGTCTATTCCATGCCTTCTTTCTCCAGGGCAGAAGTGCGAACTCTGGCTCTGCGGATGCGTCTTTACCTTGGCCGACGTCTTGCTGGGAGCCACCCTGCATCGCCTCAAGTTTCTCGGACTCTCTAAGAAATACTGGGAAGACGGCAGCAGACCCAACCTACAGTCCTTCTTTGACAGGATACAAAAACGCTTTGCCTTCAGGAAAGTCCTGGGAGATATTCACACCACGCTCCTCTCAGCAGTGGTGCCCAACGCCTTCAGGCTGGTCAAGCGGAAACCTCCTTCCTTCTTTGGAGCCTCCTTCCTTATGGGATCTCTGGGGGGAATGGGCTATTTTGCTTATTGGTATTTAAAGAAAAAATACATCTAATGCTGGCTGCTTGGTGTTTAGTTTGGTGTCTCTGTGCTGTGTGAAATTATGATGAAGCCGCAGTAACTGTAATGAAATTTGAAGCAAGGTATGAATAATTATATTGTTTAATGTAACATTCCATAGTCTAGAAGTAGAAACGTATACTGCAAGGAAATAAGACAACAACAACAATCGTGTTGACCTGTAAATGCCTTCTTTAGGTTTAAGTGTTGAGCTCTCGAGAGGGGTGCGCAGTGCTCGGGGGCCGCAGGGCTCGCCCTGCCCACCGGGAAGCAGGCGGCTCCAGTGGGAAAGGCAGGAACGCCGGGAAGTCTCCCAACACCCACGCTAAGCAGTTGGATCTGGATCCTCAGGCCTCTAGGTTTATGTTTTTGAATCGGTCCCCAGCCCCGTTTCACACCTGGGAGKAGGGAGGATTTTCTCCTTTAAAAGCCGCTTTATTGCTGTGCTCGGAGGCCTCTCTTGGGAGCGGGAAGACGCAGCCRGTGGGGACAGGGTGCAGTAGCTGGTCACAGTCAAGGTGGATTAATGTTCTTTAATTAACCATTTTTCTATTATTTCCACTAAAGAAAGGTTTTTTATTGAGCCGCTCTTAGAATGTATCTACTTTCTACATCTGGTTGTGGCGTGATTTTGTTTTTTATTTAAGATTCAATGTCTGTCTGTAGCTAAACCCTGCACCTTCTTTTCTCCTGAGATAATTCATTCTGACTTCCATCCTGAATTCTGCCACACGAAGAGGATTATCACCATTATTTGTTTTAGCCTTATGGCTCTTTGCTTTGAGTTTCCTTTCATGGATTTGCAAAGCATCTTTCACCGACCGAGCAACTTAGGACTCTGAAAAAATACAACCGTTTTCAGAACTTTTCAGCACCTTCCTGAAGACACTTTGGCATTCCCTCTCTTTGGAGGCTCTTTTCTGCCATTCCCTCGCTGTGTGTTTTCTTAGAGACACTTTGCACAGAATCACGTTTATCACTTTCTTGTGCCTTTTGCATGTTGGATAAAAATAACGGGCCTCACTGCTACTCATGCTTTGAAAACTGAGATCCTCAATAAACCATATGGGAGGAGTAACTGCTTTACATTTCTAAATGTGTTCAACATCCTTTAATTCTTATTTCAAAGCATGCCTGTGTGCAGAGCAATACAGAGGTAGTTTGTGCTGTTTATCATACTGGTTTATACTGGTATAAAACTCACCTGGATGCTGTACACATTCCCCTTCCATGGCATGGCTAGGACATTCTGCAGCTGATTTCCAGAGGCCTCCAAGGGCTTCCTAAGAARCTCTCTCCTGGTGGGGTAGCTTAGGCCAAGCATGGCAGGAATTGCACTGTTTCTGACTCAAAATAAGCTCCTCCTGCACTTGAGAGCTGCCAGGTTTCTCAGGAGCTTTGGTGCTCGACCCAAGCTGGCAGTCGTGCCGTTGCGAGCAGCCAGCAGCAATTACATGGGAGGAGCACACAGGGCTTGGACAAAGGCAAGACGTGTCGATTTACGCCGTGCTTGGGTAGCTGAAAGCGTGTCACTGCTCACCTGCGCGGATGAGGCGCACGGCTCTTCACGTCCTTGCGTGGGAGCCTGGCACACACGGGAGCACCCGCTGGCCGAGCACCTCCCGCTGGGGCTGCTCGGGGCGGACACGGGTTCCCACAAGCAGATCTGCTTCATGGCAGCAGTTACTGAGGAGGAAGATTTTTTGGKGCATTTTGAAGAAGGGGGCAACAAGGTCCCCCAATACTATCCAGCTTGTTCAATCTGAAAGGTACAAGAACACACATTTTCTACACAAAAAACAACTCATGGTCCATCTGGCCTGATGCTAAATGTCCAGGAAAAGCTATAAATGCACATTGACGTGAAATGCTCTCCTTGTCATCCTTTCTTTTGCCTTTTGAGTTTCCTACACACCCCTCCCTTGGTGATTTTGAAGAGCTAGTGCATACACCAGGTGTAGAAAGAAAGATTTATAGGGCTACAAGGCCAGGAAACCCAGGGAACGAAAAGAAATACTTTGGTAATTCTCAGGATTTTGCCTTGAGGTTGAGGTAGGAGAGAGATTCCCAGCAAGATGGGCATTTGTCTCTTTGTTTTGAAAAGCAAGAATAAATTTTAAAACATGCTGGGCACATCAGAACTCAAAAACACTGTGAATTTCTTGTTGTTGTTTTGGGACACACTGTGAACAATGCAAATATTGCAAGGATGCCAAAAAAGAGTCAACATCTAGAGCCAGGAACGGGGCAGGCCGGGTCAGGGCACGTGGCACTTGTCCATCCYGTCACCTTTCACGTGCTGGAGGCCACAGGTGCCACTCTGCTCCGTTCCGCATGGGGATCTCAGTAGAAACTGGGGGGACTCACCAGTAATATTCACCAAGCAGCCTTTGTTTTGGCCACATAAAGAAATGCAGAGAAGGCAGGAGAGGCAGCCGGTGTTACCCACCTCCAAGCCCACCTTCCCTAACCTGGGAATAAAAGATGGCACAGCTTTGCTCCAGGGAAAAGGAACCTGCAAGGGCGATAAAAGGCAATTACTGAGGGGCAGCGGCTGGACTGGTGAGAGACCTGGTGAGCGCRGGGACGAGCGCGACCGCAGTGACGGATGGAGCAGCGCAGCACTGATGAGCTTGCTGTCCAAGGCACTTTCTGTACACAGAAGTATCAGAACGAGTGCAAACGCCAACTTCTTGCTCCTTCCCTGGCATTCACCAAGTCCCAGGTTAGCACCAGGGAACAGCTTCATCCAAACACGTTTAGCTTTCAACCCTCCTGTTTTTAGAGACTGTTGGGCAGCTCAGGGCCATCTCATCTGCTGCATGTGCAGTTACGCGAGGGTGGAAAATCAGGGGCTGCTCAAGCACGGGCCCTCTGGAGCTCCTCCGAGAAGGAGTTTCCATCTGCAAGCCCAAAACGGGGCCTGGGGGAACGCGTAATGCTGGGCTGTGCGTCGTGCCGCTCACTGCCATCGTCGTGAGCAAACCAAACCCACTCACACCGCTTCCACAATGCGCTGACACCGGCTGACTCATCTCTCAGGCCCCTGCAAGGCCTTTTAATAACGATAATATGGGATTTAAACCTATATAGGATTAAACCTAAATAATCAAAGAACTAGTAAACAATGTACAAGCTAAGAATCAATTGATCTACCTCCACAGCAACAGTCATTTGAGGACTAGCACAGGGGAGCGGTAAGTCTGTCCTGCTTGTGCCCTCAGCAAGGCTTTTACTACAGGAATCTGTGGAAAAGCTCTTTTTGCCTTCACAGAATCATGGAATTKTTATGGTTGGAAAAGACCTCCAAGATCATAAAGCCACTTGCAGAACATTGCTCCTAGACAATGGAATTTGAACCTCAGCAAGACAAATGGAAATGAAAGCGTCTGCATACGTATTTTGTGAGCTGTGACTGACTTCACATCCTTAAATCATCTCCTAAGGCAGGACCTCAGTGAGCAAAATGCAGAAGATTCGGACTGAGCCACTTCCAACACTGAATCTAAGGTATGAATCCATGCTGAAAACACAGCRGAACCTGTATTCTCTGATAAACCAGTTTGTTGCAACGCATTTTATTTGCTGCAGCCCAAGGCTCCCGTGCAGAAAGCGGCTGCTGTCACCAGAGCACATTATTTTTCTCCCTGTCACTTCAGGGATGAGCAGGCTTATGAACAAGGATCAACCTCCACCCACCCTTTGGGATCGCGGCAGATCATGGGGCTCTCTGCTTTTGTCTTTCTCCTCTTTCAGCTCTCCTGGTCCTTATCCCTTTATTTCTATCCCCTTCCTCTCTTTTCCCACAGCACTAACTCCCTAACTCCCGCAGCACAGCTGGGGATACAGGAGCAGGTTCACAGGATATTTCTATTGTCAGGAGCCTGGGGGTTGTTAACACTGCATCAAGGGATAAAGAGCTCCAAATTCCCACCTTCTAAGAAAAAGAAGGGAAAACGGAGGCAGTCTTGCTAAAAYAGGCCTTAACAACACAGACCAGTGGATGACTTGGAAACAACTCTCTTTAAAAATAACACTGTCCATCCCCCTACTTTTGCTGCTTCCTGCTTCACTCGTATCCTAACAGTACTTCAGCTTCCCCATGACCTAAATCCTCTTTAGCTCYGGTGGCGTTATCCAAATAAAGCTACTTTGCAATCAGAACAGAGCGTAACCAATTTGAGGGGGCACGAGCTGCAGGCGCTTCTTGACACAGAACTGAGCAACCTGCACGAAAATCCAGAGCGGGTTTACAAAACTCCTTACGTCTCAGGGCAATGTCACTCCACTGCAACTCCGGCTCTCTGCTTCTGCTTGTGAAATACCATTTCTTTCCATCCCATGACACAGCCCCTACGGAACAGAACAGCAGTAAGGAGAACTCCTGGCCACACTTCAAAACAAACAAACCTGGCACTGTTTTAGCTATTTCTTAACCTTCAAATCCTGATTATCAATGCAGRAGGTTGGTAGTTGCAGAGAGCAATAATGTCATCCCTTAATTATATTAATAGTCTGTAATTAATAAATATCTGGGTGAAACTACTCTTTCTCATATCCTGAGAAAACRACAGGGCTAACTCCTCCAGTGCACGACTTGGCTCTGTCACATCAGCTTTGCTTTCCTTCCATGATTTCATGCACAGCAGACCTTCAATAAATTAAATGTATGTTTTTTTCCAGGCAATTAAACACTATTACACCCAACTATTTTTAGTATAGGCTACACATAAATTCAGAGTCACAACAGCCTTTTCTACTAGTATTATTTGCTTTCATCTCAAGTTTTGGCAAGATACTTCAAGGGGAAGAAAAGAAAACGGAGAGAAAGTGCATTTGACAGAGATAAAGAGCATTTATTATGAATCCAAGCTCTGCGAGGTTAGGGGAAGCTCTGAAAAGAACTAATCCRAGGAAGCATTTCTGAGCGAATAGATAAATGCAGGGTGATCAAAGCTAAGAGCTGGAAAAGGCTGATTGCAGGGAAGCTGCAGGAAAAGCTGCTGTAAGATGCAAGGCAAGGGGAGAACGGCACTACTTCACTGCAAAAAGCAAGCACAGAATATTGTTCAGAACCAAAGACTTGGATTTTTGAGGACACTTAACACATCGCAGCAGTTTTTCCCCATTAAAATGCACAACAGGGCATAACTGGGCATTTCCGCTTCATCATCAATTGCAATGCATTAATATAAGAAATAATATTCTGTTATTGCAGCTGTTCCCACAATCGAAATTTTGATATTCACAAATAAAGTGACAAATCACACAATCACGGAGTGGTTGAGGTTGGAAGGGACCTCTAGAGACCATCTAGTCCAACCCCCTGCTCCAGCAGGGACACCCAGAGCACGGGGTCCAGGGTGGCATCCAGGTGGGTTTCAAAGACCTCCAGAGGAGACTCACAGCCTCCCTGTGCAGCCTGTGCCAGGGCTCTCAAGATTAACCAACACCAGCGAAGCACTCGCAGAACAAAGACTTCCAGGAAGAACCAAACCACAACCATGCTTTGTTTTACAGTTTGAATCATCCAGATGGATCTTAATAAAAGTCCAAATCTCTGTTTGCCTGATTTTACCTCCAAGAAAGCAAATTTTTCAAAGCTCTCAGATAAGAGTGAAACGAATCCTAAACCACCACTCTGTTCCAGCTGAGATTCCCTTCCTTACTGGTCCAGGCAGAGCAGAATGTTTAAGGCACCAAAAAACCTCCTCACCCACACCACTCTGGTCATGGCTGTGAAAGCACCGTCAGAGAGAACCCACAAAACAACCTACAGAATTCAATACGTGCAAGGAAAGAAGAAAGGAAGACAATTTAAAATGAGTAACACAGCTCTAAGATGTTGGAGAGCAGAACTCCGCAGGTAGTTCTACAGACATGGAGACACATCTCTGCAGGAACAAGAGAAAAGCTGTACTAAATAAATTTTAATCCAGGAAAGTCTCCCAAATACCGAGTTTCTCCTCATGATTACAGTCATTTTCTTTCGAAACCTGCTACAAAATGTGAACATTCACCTTTAAAATACATTCTTTGTTTTAAACACTTAAAACAGATTACCAATAACTGTTAACAGCTGGAAGAAAAGATCTGTCCCCTTGGCAGAAGGCATCAGACCCAGCCATTCAGAGCACCACTGTTTTTTGGAGGGAGGGGGAAGGGGGGATTGCAAAATCCATCAGAGGCCACATTTTTATTTTAATTACAGAAGTACATTAGCAGTGGGAGGAGAACGTGAGTCAGCAAAAGTAATGGCAAATACGCAAACAGAGAAACAGTTAAACCGCAAGGAAACTGTGACTTACTCTGAAACAGAGTCAAAAAGTGCAAATAAAAGCGCAGGGGTTGGGGAGCTGCTCTACGCTAGCAGTTACTTTGTGATGTCTGGGTACCAAAAAACAAATACAGGCCAAGTCTTCCAAACTCTAAAATCGTCTTACAGTGCATAGGATTTTTCTTCTTTTCAATGGATTAGACTTTTGCTTTGTTACACAGAACCCAGGTCTGAACAATCAACTCTCTGGCAAAACAAGGGCACATTAGAAATCTTTGTTTGGCATTTTTTATGCCCTGTACTTTCAAGAATKTGTGCCATATTATGCAAGCACTGCAGAATTTTCAATGAAGGTCAATCAGGTTCTTRAGTAATAACAAGAAAATCAGGAGTTTGGATCATTCAGGGCACGACACAGCAGCAKCATCATCTTTACAGACTTCAGAAAAAGACTAAACCCTTGGTAATTTTTTCACGTGTCTTTAATTAGCTGTTTAAATTGTGCGAATAACCATATCCAACACTATTAAAATAATAAATAATTTGTATAAGGCTAGTTAGACATGGACTGGAGTATCCATATAGTGATTGCACAAAACGTATTTGTGGAGCTGAAGAGAACTTTTACAAGCCCGCTGGTTAAATAAATAAATAGCGCTTCCTTTTTATAGGCCTTGTCTATGTAGCAAAGGTACATAAAATAACCCAAAATGAGAACTTCCATGTAATTAATTAGAAAATCTTCTGCATATATAATCCTATTTCTGGATGAGAGTGACTTACTGGCTAGCTTAACTAGAAAGAAYGTCTGCAAAGGAACCAGCATTGTTTAAACACAATTTTAGTTAAACCCAATATGAGTTATATCAGTGCACATTTTCCACATAGGCAACTTAAAAGGCAGCTTGATGAAAAAAGAGGAACTCACTACAAAATCTAGAACCTCCTGAAAGAACAGCATTTTTTTTCCTCTCTGTGAGATGATTTGTACTCTCTGAGGATGCACTGCAAGTCCCACCTACTGCTGAATTCAATGGAAATTCAAGGCAGGTTAGCATTCCTCAGAAGCAGGCCACAAACAAGAAATTAACACTTATATTTATTACAAATATCCCAAATTTCCAGGCTTCCTGGAAAGGAGCTGTTGTGATGGCAAAAGGATTACAGGATGGCACTCATCATACTCTAAATTCATTAAAATCAACTTAGAAGTAAACTTTATAGCCTGATTAGATTGGCTATCAAATTAATAGACACTGACCGCAATACGGTCAGTGTCTGCAGAGACTGCCACTGCAGAAACTTCTGGTTGTCTGGCTCATCACTACAACTGTCAAACAAATTTTGTGCAATTGCAACATGAATAATCTTTCAGGAAATAATAAAAAGCCCATAAAGATAAAAATTGTTTGATACAATTACAAAAAACATTCGATTTCATACCAAGTCACTCCACCATAGTAGTGTTTTATTCAAWAGTGTTTTCCAGCCACATCAAAAGTGTGTGCCATCAAAATTAAYGTAGCTTACTGATACTGCTGGGCAAGTAAGAATAAATATTGCTTTAAGCATACTGCTTTGCAGCTCTTAGCTCATTCATTACCAAGCAGGATATTCAGGAAAAAAAGTGGTTAAGCCAACAAGTTCATTACACCAGATTTCATTGTTCTTCAGGAAGAAACTCACCAGGMAATACTCTTGGTTGCAAAGTGCACAACTCCAAAGATTAATACAAGAATTGAGGATTTAATTTTCTTTTCTACTTTACTGGAACTGGGAAGARTTTAGGGGTTTCGTGTCATGAATAAAAATGATAATATTATTTCAAATACATTGTTTCAAGGAAAAAATAAGACTTATTTTCCTTTTCAAAGGCAGACATGAATTTAAAGCTAAAACCAAATCTCGGATTCATTCCCTTCACCTCAAAATTCAGAGATAGCTAAGGATTATTTATGTCAAGTTAGCATATTAAACACTTGGTAATACGAGATGTCGTGGCATCACACCTGAGCTATATGCTGCTTTACCAAGTGAATGTTGGTAGCTAATTGTCTTTTGCAACACTTGGCAGCACTGTCATGAGAGCTTTCCCTAAGGCAAAACAAGGAGGAGTATTGAAAAATAACAGCAAGAAAAAATGGGGAAGGATCATCCACGGTGTTTTGACAAAAATAAAACTGAAAGGGTAGGGGGAGAAATAATTTGAGATCAGTTAAACTCTTAAGAGCAAAACCCTGTTAGTCATGGATTTGTTTTTCCATTTTTTGACCACAGAAACAGCCTGACTTCTGATTCTTAGCAGAGTGTGTCAGCAACACAGACATTAACTTCCAACTAAGAGCAGTGCTTTTGCAACACCATTTTTTTTTTCTCCCTTGCCAGGAAACAGCTCATTAATATCTGTCAGTCAGTGAAGATCAGCTAGTAGGGATTTGATTTTCTCTTCCCCAGCTCGTCACCTTGTTCCTTATAGTGGAAATTCTGTAACCATTTCTACATTCAACTACATTAGTATTTAAAACAAAATCCCCCAAACTTTAAAACCTGTATTTATCTGCTATAACTGTATTTCTTTGAACTCAAAGGAATATGTGGGAGAGGTAGTCCAGGAGAAAAAGGTTTCAAATACCAAAATCTGTATGTCCCATACCAGGCCGTCAGACCTATCAGTACACCAAAAAGCTTTTGGCTGAAGTCATGAAAATACACAGCAGTACATAAAAACATAAACACCCAGATYATGGTTAGAAAACACAAGGCAACAAACAGGCTGTTGATCACAACACGTAGCCTAGGGTTCTGGTCTACAGACAAGCCTTCCAGCACAGCCATCTCCTCCACAATCATCAGAGCACAGTAGGAGAGAAGAAAACAGTGCCCCGAGATATCAAAACCAATCCAGATGCCGTTGTCCTGGTGGCATTCCTGCTTGTTGGCGTAGAGCCGGCGAGGCTCTTGGAGGTCACCTGAGATAGAGCACACGCCGGTGAGATTCTCAACATACATGAAGAGGCGGGTGCACACGTACCAGACAGCCGTGCCCACCAGCAGCGCGCTGAGACGCCGCAGCACGATCAGGACGCTCTTGGTGGGGCCGTAGAGGAACTTGCTGCGGGCGAACTGGTAGGTAGTGACTCCAATGAAGGGCAGCAGAAGAAAGAATGTCCAGGCCCAAGCCAACTTRACAAAGTACCTGCCAGAGAAAAGCCAGAAGAGAAACATGGAGTGAAACTTCAGTGGGCCAGGAGGCAGCCGGCTAAGTGGGCTCACAGAAGTAAATTTTTAAGGTCACTGTTCAGAGTTGTCTAATTGAGGGGAGTGGACATGTGCCTAAAAGTACACCATAGCTAAAATGTTAATCCTCTCCCCTTTCTGAAATACCATGAATTACCTGCTCCACTACCTTTCAGGCCCAACACCTAAATATTTCTCAACCAAGTAACCGACTGTTTTCCAGGCAGCTTTCCCTCAGACACAGAGCCCTCAAGCAGACTCCGACCCRACTCGCAGTCCAATTACTGCAGCTGCCTTTACCCTCCTAATCCACTCAACTCTGCCCTACTGAGAACACAACTGCAGAGMGCATTTTATTAGCTTGCTACCCTGACCACAGTAACCTTTTCTCTCCAAGTCTTCCCCTCCTCCTCTCTGTCAAACCRTCTCTTCTTTCAAAGCCTTCCACCACGGCTTGCTTTCTTAATACTGACTGAGATAGCAGGAGAAAGGCTGACTGACTGTTCCCTATGATCAGCCCATGACATTTCTCCTCTGTTATGACCTTACAAAAATAAAAAGAATAAGAAGAACAGTATGTATGTGTGTGTTCCTTTCTGCCCCTCCAGTCGCAAGAAGTTTTCCCTTAGTATACACAGATCTACAAATCCTATGTTCACCTTGAAAACTACTCCTGTAACATCTATAAAGTCTTGAGATCAAGCTTAGAATCTGACATGATCGTGCAATTCTTTCCAAATTTTAAAATGCAGCAGATGCMAGCAAATTTCCTCAGGCGTTAGGGGCTCTAGTCTCCAATCTTCTTTCTCCTGGTAGCACTTTCCAGAGCAGCCTTCCTAACTACAGGTGGGAAGAGGGAACTGTGCAGCTCCCCCTTTACACACWTCTCAGCTTGAACAACAGAGACAGCAGGATTTAGGTCTGTGACTGAGCTACCACTATGCACAATAATAATGTATTATCATAGTGCACCCTGCAGCCTAAGTATCTAAGACAAAAACAAGTAGGACAAAAGTCTTTTTTTTTCCTTCTTCATTAAGACTCTAACAAAAATTGTTAAAGCTTCACGCAGGATTTTGAGGACTACCTTCCTTGCACTTTAACAGTAGAAGGGCCTCTGTGTGGCAACTATTGCCGCTACCATGGAATAGTAATTAAAAATAAAGCCCTCGTTTTATTTTGACAGGTGAAGGCAATTACGTTAGCAGACTTTCTTGCTTTTAGTAAACCTACAGGCAAGTAATTTGTGGAGCAGGAAAAAAACTCCTTCAGGAGCTCTCAATACAGATGAGCCTCTTTATCTAAAATGAAATGATAAAATCAAATTCTAGAATGTTTTTACCATCGCATCAATTTAATTTTCTAATTCTTCCTTCCAGATTTTCTTTTCAACAACCTTTCCTTTACCTCATGTCACCAAGTGACAATTCTCTCACTCAYAAAAGAAAACAGACAATTTAACTATGCTTTCTGATCTCTAACAGGTAAACTGCACATGCACCAGCCCAAGATCATTAGCTTCCTCATTACCCTTTAAAGTGCTCAAACAAGTGAGGCAGTCAAATCATGCCTGACCAMTGGGAAAGAACTGCAATTATCCTGAAAAAAAAAAAAAAGAAAAAAAAAAGGCGGAGACTTTTTACCTTTAACTTGCTTTTAAATCAAGTCAGTAACTTTCAGTTTACTGAAACCCAACTGCGAGCTACAAGAGAAAAAAAAAATCCCTTGTTCTCCTCTTTCAATCYATCAATAAAAAATGAGCAAGAGCAGCCAGTGGCTCTGCAACCTGCAAGTATGGGCATTATACGAAGCGTGAGATCACAAAACCTAACAGCGAACGACCAGCACYGGCGAGAACTGGCCCAGCACTGGCACTGCTTGGTAGCACCAACTTCAGAACTTACTTGCTCGCGTGCAATCGCCTGGACCCAGGATGCCCTGAGGTGCCTCCGCGCTATTYCCAAGCCCCCCTCAGCTGTGCGCTGCCCTCCCGGCGGGCACGGGCCGCCCTGTGTCCCCGGTGTCCCGCTCTGGCCCCGCGGGAGCTGCCTTAGCCAGGGCCTGCCCGGGTCACCGGCCCCAGGAGCGGCCGGGGGGGCTCAGAGGGCCTCGCGCTGCCCCTGACCCCCCTCAGCAGCCCGCAGACCCCCCAGCTCCCATGAGGCCCCCCCGGAACAAGCTCTGTGAGGCCCCCGGGATCCCCTGCCCCTCCACAGGGCACTCCCAGCCCCACAGGGCACTCCCAGCCCCACAGGGCTTCATTCCCCCCGGCCCCATAGCTCCCCACAGGCCCCACAGGATCCCCGGCAACCCAGGGGCAGCCCCAGCCCGGATACCAGCTCCGCGGAGCCACCTCCGCAGCCCGGAGAGGCTCCCGCCTCGCGGAGCCTTGMGCGCCCCGATCCCCAGGGGACCCCCCTCCGCGGCGCCCCTTGCCCCGCGCGCCTCCTCACACGTTGAGCGGGTTGCGCTTGTCCTGCATGGGCGTCCGCGGCACGAGCTCGCCGTCCTTGAGGGCGGAGCCGAGCAGGGCGATGGCGAGCAGCAGCCAGGGCAGGCGCGGCCGCACGCGCCACGCGGCCAGCGCGCCGCGCAGCCAGCGCCCGCACCGCTCCAGCCGCTCCATGGCGCCCGCCCGCCGCGGGGCCGCCCACGCGCGGCGCCCCACGGCGCGTCACGGCCCTGCCCTCAGCGGCGCCCGCCCGCCCCGCGCGGCGCATGCGCGGCGCTGAGGGCGGCCCTCATGGCGCTCTGCGCGCCCGCCCAGCGCCGGGGTCAAAACCTCCATCGTGGTGCCCTGCCGAGTCCCGCGGGAAAACGCGTCCGCTTTCCCCAAGCCCAGTGACAGCTTCTTTGTGTGAATATAAATATTTACGCAAAAATATAAATATATACACAAAAATATAAGTATGATGTAGATATAATGTAAATAGTGTGCTCAACACGTGCCCCGTGCTTCAGGCTCCCTCTCCAGCCTGTGGAAACCCGTGCCAAGATGGCTCTTTACATCCTTTAYGGGCCTGCAAGGCGGCTCGTGGGGCGGGAGAGAGGAGAGGCGCTTGGCAGGCATGCAGGCTGTCACACAACACCCGTCCACATACCTTGATAGAGCCCCTGTGCCCTAAAATGACACTGTTCTGGTCATACACCTGGCTCACTTTAAAGAAAATACCTTACTGAGGTATTCAAGAGAAAAATGGAGATTTTCACCCTTCCCCAGGACTTTGGGCCCTTTTGTGGGCCTTAAAATACAGAGAGAGGTGTTTGYGAAGCGCTAGGACTGTGCAGGTCCCTCCATCCGCACTCACGGCAGGAACAGTGGTGTCTGCTCCAGACTTGTTGAGATGCTGCTGCTGTCATTTCAACTTATTTTTTTCTTTTTTTAATAYGAAAAGCAGTGCTGAACAGAGGAGCCGCTAACTGAACAAAGAGCCTGTGTTCAGCCCAATAGCCTTGATAATAAAAATGTGAAAGCGGGGAAAAAATACACTCCATCTGAGACAGTATGGGAAAATATTTCTTACCAGACTGCATTTCAAAGCACTTTTTTTTCCAGTCATCATCAGCAAATCTATGACAACATCTCATCTGAAAGGGCAGGAGGATACATCAAAGTCAATTGACACAGAGGAAACTCCAGTAGATACAGAGAGTTTCCGCAAAGAAGGCGATCCAGGCTAAATGGCATTTGGCAAATTATTACGTGTTGTTTTTAACGAGGCTGCCACGATCATGTCTAGTTCTTCTAGCCACAGCATCATACCCCTGGATTGGAAAAGACAGGCAGCTGCGTTCACTCAGACGAGTGGGGATAACAGGGCTTGGGAGCAGGTTTCACAGTTCAGCATTGTCTGCCTAAATCCCCTCCTGTGAGAGCCCAGCTGCYTCCTTTACAGGTTTGAGTCTCTGATCTTCAGACTGTTTTCAGTGCCTGGGAGCTGGGCAGGACAAGCTGCTCAGCTGGCTGCTAATGAAGCGTGTTGTGGAGTCTGCCCCGTTGCAGGGAGGTTTCATAAGCCTGGCACCTGCTCCAGATGAACGCAGCTGATGGCATAGGCTGGAAATTTGTCGATCTTCAGCTCAGCTTGAAATGTCTGAGGATTATCCCTGTAAATCATGAATTCTAGCAAGTGCAATGAGCAAAGCTCAACTGGGTTCCAGGTGTCCCGCAGATTTAAAGTCAATCTCTATTTTTCTTGCCCTGTGTTTGCTGCCATGTGCCACCAGCCAACGACAATAATCTTTCTGAGGAGCCAGTCACACCTCTGCAACAGAGAACCTGAATTTAGGTGCTTTAAAGTTGCAGAAACTTCTTTCGCKTCTTAAAGAGGGGAACAAAGGTGCTTGTGGGGTTGGAAGAGATTCCCAAAGAGCCCTCATAGCTGCCTGGTAGAACTGTGATAGATATAAACCATACAAAAAAGAACAAATTTGTCAGTATAGCAGATGTGGCTGACCTCATCTTTCTTAGAATCTTTTTTTCTGAAACCAGATCACTGCCCAATTCAAGCCAAAATAGTCCAGACTACCTGATGAAACTATTTTTTTTTTTTTTTTTTGCTAGCTGAACAAAAGGTTTAATTGGAGCCAAAAATCCCAAACAAGTTGTTTCTCTTTAATTGAGAAACAACATTTTGCATTCAACCTGCATAGCAATAGAGGCATTAGAGGATGTAACTCCACTTACACTGCTGAAGATGCATTGTTAAGCACTGTCCCCATATGGCCACCCACCCAAATTCAGGGCACTTACTTAATCGGGTGATGTAGAGCTGCAGATCTCAACCACCTGAGCAGAGGTTTGAAATAAGATCCAGTGAGCCCTGGAAGAACATCCTTACTCCTGAGCTGTGGCAAGTTAGGAGAAAATCATTCCTGTTCCTCTGGGGCCAGGTTATGTCAGGTACTATTTGTTAGAGCAAGTTCTTTGTGCTAGACACTCAGCAAAAATGCAGCCTGTCACAAGAAGACAAGGTCATTACCGAAAAGGTGGTCATGCCTTAGAGCCATGTCCAGATTGGGCTGTTGGGGCTTTCGTTTTTCAGCCGTTTGATGAAACCCTGCAGAARCTATTGCTGCCATAAGTACCCAAGCAGGTGCCTTCTAGCTCTAAACTGTTCAAGATTTGAAAGCTGAAAGATCTGGAGAGTTCCTGTGTTCTCCATCTGGAAGCATGGCTGAGCTGAAAATTCAGTATAAAGTCCCCTGAACCTGGCAAATAGGGTTATCTTTATGGGATTTCTGGGTCCCCTGCTTTCTATTGCAACCAAAGAAAGATGTGTGGAAGAGGAAAGATCACTTTCTAAAGAGCAAGGGACCTTGGTTCTTTTCTTTTCAGTTTGGGCTGAGGTGTCCTTGCAGGCAGGTCAGCACCTCAGGGAAAACGCACTCCAAGCAGTGCTCCAACCAAGCAGACCAGGGTTTGTGGGGGTGTTTGCTACAGCTACCAACCTGCCCACACAACCCAGTCTCTCTCCTATGGTCACCATAGCACATGAATAACATCTTGGACCTCATCACCACAGTGCCCCACAGAACTCACTGCCCKGCAGAGCCAGCCAGTGGCCAGACATTTGGTGGAGCTGAGCAGTCCCACCATAATGTCCCTTCTGAACTGCCAGACCACCTTTCCTCTGAGTCATCCTTTCTCACAGAGTTCCTACAACACAAACAGCACCTGCTTATCTGTCACCTCCTGGCTGCTTTTCAGCCCAGGGGACCATCTACCTCAGCTGCTCCCTCTTGCTCCCACAGTGCTGTTCAAAGGAAAATCATTTGGAAACCACACACTTTTAGTGGTCGTGCCACTCATTCTTTCCAAGCCTCACTTGTTCTGTTTTCCTTGGTGAGGTCTGCTCMCATCTCCTTGATGGATTGCATTAGAGTTTGATTGTTAAGTGTGCTGGGATGTTTGCATGGAAGGTGCTACCTAAGCATAACTTGTGCTGTATTTTCTTTGCCTAGCRGAAGCTTAAGGCTGAAGTTGAAGATAGTTTTGGCCCTCTGCTGAGACAGTGTCCTGCAGCTCCAATGCTTTCAGCTCTGCAACCTGCCCTTGAAGCTTGAAGAGCCTTGTGCCCCAGAAGTGCCTTTGAACATCTGTCTGAGCAGAGGTGTGACAGCCTTCCCCACACAAGGGCCTGGGTCATTCTTGCCCCTCTCTGGTGGCAAGAGACCTTCTCTTGCAAGATCCCCTCCACACGAGGCCCTGGCTTGTCTCTGTTCTGTGCACAATGAGGGGCTGCACACTTCTGTGAGTGGCCCTGCACTTCCAGCAGAAATGCTGAGTCAAGAAACAGAAAAAAACATTGCACAACCCATGTGGCTGTTCAGACACATAGGAAAGGTCTTTCCCAGTCCTGAAACCCCAAGAATTTTGAAAAAAAAGGTATGGAAATTGACCCCAGGTAGTTTTTTTTTTTTTTTTTTTTTTTTTTTACAACAAACTGAACTATCCCTGGATGCAGCATTAAAACCTCCACAGGTCATACATTCCCAAACACTTTAAACGAATAAAGGATATGATCTTAACTGAAGGGAATTTTCAGCATATTTGGTGGTTGTATCCAAAGATCAAAATATTTTGGGACGCAGGGCAAAGTAATAAAGAACCAATTCATTTTTCAGTAGTGCAAACTTTAAAGCTACCAATTAATACCTACTGCTACAAAATATTTATATTTCTTGTTCTGCACAGCCAGATTTCAGCAAAACAGACTAATGACAGGTTTAAATTTACAGAAGAGAATGGTCTTGTGATTAGGGCCCTGAATTTGGATTCAGAGGATCTGGTTTTAATTTGTGGCTCTGACAGAAACTCCTTCTCCACAGCCATAGGCAGTTCCTTAACCTCTCTATTCCCATACCCTGAATGGGAAATTGTTATGTTCTTCTCCTTCCCAAGTTACTTTCTTTACATGTGTTTGGGCATAAAATGATCTTAATTAGCAGTTATAATTACTTTCAAGTGCAGCTGTGTGCATAACTTTTCTTAAACACATCTGGCTTTTTTTTGAATAGAATGATGTATGCTTTTTAGGTTCAAAAAATCCTCAATTTCCAACATCTGCACATTTGAAATAATCGGATTCTGTTTTTTTTTTTTTTGGAGGTAGCTGCTGTGTATTTTTTCTGCAGACTTAGTGGACAGTATCTTCAAAGCTGCATGGTTGYTCATAAATAACTTCTGTTCAGTAAGATTTAACATCTGTTAGTCATGTGCTRCAAAGCATTATCTGGTGTTTCCATTTATTCACTTGCTATAATGATTATCAATCACAGATTTAGCATTATGCAAAAGTCCTAACAGTTTCCATGAATCTTTTTGCTGGGTGGTCCTTGACCTACTAATCTGTTCTACAGCTTTTTGTACTTTTTTAAAAAAAGAAAAACTGCTTTTTATCGGAACTAAGTAAATATGAGAAGGGGGTGATCTCTGCTTCTAATTCAAATTCTGAATCATGAACTTTTTACACTTTACTAATGCATAATTTTAGCACATATGTTTGCTAGAAAGCATCAGAAACATATTCAGATGTAAGATTTGGAACTATGTTGATTAGCTGCAGGGAAAAAAATTTAACACAGCTTCTTGAGTGGATAACCAGTTCAAACCACACAACAAGT